CGGGGAACGTTGGAGTCCTCCGTCACTGAAGCAAGCAAGCCTCATGTTAGTTTCAAGCTGCCTGGCTGCCGTCCGCCATCTTGGCTGTCAGTTAATTTGCATATCTCGCTGATTAGCCAATAAGAAGGGTAGCGGTCATGTGCCAATTACCATGTTTCTCTTTTATTAAATAGAATAGGCATGTGAAAGAAACTGAGAAGTACAGTGGGTGCTGGTGCATCAGTAGAGCCTATGGCCACAAGGGTACCCAGTTGTAGTCCTAACACTTTAGTTTCCCTGGCAAGACTGTCCAGCTATGGCTTTTGCTTCTGAAAATGACCCAGACGTATTCAAACTCACACTTACTTCATAGTGAGGGGCAGCATTCGCAGACCCAGATATTTCCTTTGTGCAAGAGCCTTTCCTGGAAAGGAAAATTATAATGTGTTACCAACAACAAAACTTCTCTCCTTTCAGCAATCTTAAAAGAGTCACAGAACATCCTTCCATCATAGCTGCCCTCTCAAGCTGTTCCTCAGAGAACCTTCGTCATTAGTACAGACCGTCTTCCATCCACCTCTGCCCCTCAGGTTTCCTTTCCACAATAGTTCAATCCAAATGTTTCTGGGTACAACCCATGCCTGGTTTTGTGCCTAGTCCTTATATTACTGCCCAAACAACCATTAGAGAAACTGGGTACCAGTGACAGCATTCAACAGAACCGTCTCCGCAGTAGACTGAGTGCTCCCAAAAACACACAGGGGAAGAAAAAGTCCTCCCTTCCCTTACCTTTCAACTGGCGCTCATGGAATTCCGCCAAGAACTCTCGAATTCGATCAGAGGGGATTGCAAAGGAGATTCCCGCGGTCACCTTCAGTGTATTTATGCCAATCACATCGCCATCCTGGCAGGGGAGGAGATGTCATTCAGTCACCAAGTTGTGCAAATTGAACAAATAGGAGGGAGTGAAGTGAGTCCCTTAGGGCAGGGTACAGAGGGGCTAGCAGAAAAGTGGGCTTCTTCAGTCCAGATCAATGGATGTTACCTTAGAGTAGGTAGGATAGTAAAGGGGACCTACATGTGCAAATTCCTATGGAGGAATTCTTTTAAAAATCTTGAGCTTATTTTTCCTTTGCCAAATTACTCTGATTTTATTTATATTTTTAACATGTCTTTATTGATTTTAGAGAGAAGGGAGAAGGGTCGAGAGATAGAAAGATCGATCAGTTGCCTCCTGCATGCTCCCTATTGGGGATCGAGTCCACAACCTGAGCATGTGCCCTGACTAGGAATCCAACCAGTGCCCTCTTGGTTCGTGGGCTGATGATCAACCACTGAGCCACACCAGCCGGGCTGAATTACATTGATTTTAAGTGTGAACCACAGTTTGTTATTTGACCCAGAGAAGAGAACAAGGAGTATTTGCCTTTTCATTCCTTAAATGAAACTAAAAATAAACATGACAAAGGCAAAAAGCTGTTAGATTTTCAGCAACACTTCAATGAAACTATCCGTAAGAATTAGTAAATTGACTTTCGGAACAAAGCCCTACTAAACCAAGGCTATGAAGTGAGACATACTTTCCTCTTCATGCACTTCATCATCTCTAGCCTGTTAGGTAATGGAAAGGGTAAAACATCATATTGTTTAATTTAATATTTAATACTATTAAGAGACAGATTATAATTCAGTAGGTCTGGAGTGTGGCCTGAAATTCTAGTAAACTCCTTGTCCACTGGAGAAAGAAGGCACAAAAAATTGCATGCAGTGTTATAAATAAAAACGCTCAATAACATCACACACAATTCATCCTCCTACAAGTAAGTGTAATGTGTAAAGATGAACTAAAATGAGTCCGCTCAAAAACTCAGAGAGCACGACCACAGGCTGCGTCAATGAGCACGGCACTCTCGTGTTTTCACATGTATTTGAGCGACTAGAAACGCTGGCATTGCCACTAGAGCAGCGGTTCTCAACCTGTGGGCCGCGACCCCTTTGGGGTCGAACGACCCTTTCACAGGGGTCGCCTAAAACCATCAGAAAACACATATATAATTACATATTGTTTTGGTGATTAATCACTATGCTTTAATTATGTTCTATTTGTAACAATGAAAATACATCCTGCATATCAGATATTTACATGACGATTCATAACAGTAGCAAAATTACAGTGATGAAGTAGCAACAAAAATAATTTTATGGTTGGGGGTCACCACCACATGAGGAACTGTATTAAAGGGTCGCGGCATTAGGAAGGTTGAGAACCACTGCACTAGAGAGACTGAATAATTTTAATAATTAACTACATGACAGAACAATGCATTCTTGGTGTGGCTTTTCTGTCATCTATAAGTGGGTCAAGACTAAAAACCTGGACAGACCACTTCCTGAAATTAGCATTTTGGGACGAGAGACAGTTCTTCACATGCGGCAGCAGGGAGTCTTCAAGGGTATACATTAGGGGGACATTACATAGTACAATTGGTCATTTGACATAAATCTGGGTTTAGTACCCAGGACTCTTGTTAACTGTCCAATGAAAACGGAAAGCAGCCCTGACTGGTTTGGCTCAGTGGATAGAGCTTTGGCCTGCGGACTGAAGGGTCCCAGGTTCAGTTCTAGTCAAGGGCATATGCCTTGGTTGCAGGCACATCCCCGGTAGGGGATGTGCAGGAGGCAGGTGATAGATGCTTCTTTCTCATCGATGTTTCTAACTCTCTATCCCTCTCCCTTCCTCTCTGTAAAAAAATCAATAAAAAATAAAATCAATAAAGTATATTTAAAAAACAAAACAAAACGGAAAGCGTGTTAAAGAGATATAACGTGTAAGCAAACCCTAGCTGGGTGAGATCACACACCAGGATAACAAATCCATTGTAGATCTTAAGTTTTCCTGACCATTTGCTTAGGATGTAGTCATAGAAAAGCATCCCACCACAGGTCTCTGCGCTGGGATTAGTCTGCACCATGCAACCTGTCAAGTCTTTACAAGGAAGAGACATGAAGCAGCAAGGAAAGTGGCCACTTACCAAGTTCACCAGAGGCCCCCCAGAATTTCCGTGCTGGAGACAGAATTTGAAAAAACCATCAGTACTTTTCTCCTTGTCAACTATTCATAGTTCCTAAACAGATTTACCAAAAACAGCCCGCTCTAGTGAGCTCCTGTTCCCCCAAGGCAGGCAAAGTTGTCCTGTCCCCCCATCATCATCAATACTGGAGTCACTGCAGATAAAGAACAATAGCAAAAGGACCACCACTTCCTACGGCAGCGGTGGCCTCTGTGACAGACCCTAACAGGCCACCCAATATGATGGATGCCAGCTATCATATCAAACAGGCTGAAGTCTAACAAAATGCCATTCCATCCCTCTCGTAAGGATCTAACTAAACTCGGGACATCCCGAAAGGGAAAAGGAGGCGCTCTGACTGAACCGCCCCTAAGTATCTCATGGGCTCACAATGGCCTTCCCAATGACTTACATTTATTATGGCATCAGTCTGGATATAGTCCATGTCTGAATCCTCCAGCCCCAGTTCTTTGCCCCCTCGCTGTGTAGTGCTGACAATTCCTGCAGTCACTGTGTTCTGCAGAGAAAATGGGCTGCCCAAGGCCACCACAAACTCTCCGGCCCGCAGGTCAGATGACTTTCCCAGCAGCAATACAGGAAGGTCAGTCTGCACATGGGCAAGAAAGGATGGGGAAGACAACCAAGAAGAAAATCGACTGGTGCTTGTGTACAGCACTATATGACACAGTCTTTGTCACTTGGCATTTATAATCCAAGAATCACCCACCCAAACTCCCACTTGTTAAGATGATTGGGATCATCTCTAAAATCTAAAAGTATTGCTTTGTATAAATTACTATAAATAAACCAACAGTGAAGTTACTGATGAACATAAACTGACATTAGCAATTTACTTAGCACAGGTCCAGCTCAAAAGTTGACAGTCAAAATTAACTGGCCACAAACAAAGCTGATCACCCAGAGCAGTTCTTCTCAAACTTTAATACGTGCACGAATCATCTGGGGATGTTAAGAAAATGCAGATTCTAATTCAGTAGACCTGGCTGTGGTCTGATGTGGGAAGAGCTCAGGAGATTTATCTCAGTGCAGTGACAGATGCAATGGCGTGAGCGCACTCCGCCTATACAAGTTCCTCGGCACACCAGGAAGTGGCAGCGCCCACCTGAGTAAGCCCCCTAGAGCCCCTACATAGTACCCTGATCTTTCTACCACTGGTTGCCCTAAGGATGGTGTAAACTTCTGATTGGCTGGAATGTTATATATGTCGTTGCACTTAAACAATAAACTCAGATCTGCATCTTTTGAACCTGGTCTCCGGAGTCGGGCATGCTTCCTTAGGACTCCGTCAGCCTCACCCCCGCGGAACCCCCTGCCTCAGTCTGAGATTCTGCATTTCCAGCAAATGCTTCGATGATGTCAATACTGCTGGAGTGCAGACTACACTTGGTGTAACGGGACCTCAAAGCATTCCTTAGCAGCTCTGAATTCACTGTGATCATTCATGCTACTCTAAGACTACTCTAAGAGAAGTTTCCAGAAGCAGCATCTATTGAAGAGGCAGTGAAGGAGAAGAAAAAAAAAAAGAGGCAGTGAAGGAGAAGGAAAAATAAAAAAAGACTCAATCCTCCCTGCCATAGAAATTGTTAGGGATATACAGACTGGCATGGAAGAAAATAAACAGGCGGGCTAGAAGGGGTCAATGGGAGGAAAAGGGGGACATATGTAATACTTTCAACAATAAAGATTTTAAAAAATAAAAAAGAAAGAAAATAGAAGAGGGACTAAAAGACAACCAAAAAAAAAAAAGGAAATTAGAAAACAGCATATGCTAGTTGAAAAAAGGTGTTGTAGGTGGAAGGGGGTGGAGAAGAAAACATGAGCAAATTGATGAAAATCCCCAAATACGCAGGCTCTGATTTAGACCTCACAAACTCACTTTTGGCTCGATCTTAATCAGTGCAAGATCCAGTTTATGGTCAATGTCCTTGACAGTGGCTTCATACTGGACCCCACTCTGGAGCTCCGCCTGGATTCGCTGCCGGTTGGTGAGGACGTGGGCATTGGTAACGATGAGCCCATCCTCAGACACTATGAACCCCGAGCCACTGGATACAGGAATATCCTTGCCGTTGAGAGGTGACCTGTCTCAGTAAAGACAACAGCGCAAGCAGAGGGCAGGAGAGTCAGGGGATGCACCACAGTCTGGAGACACACAACCTCACAGGTACCAAGCATACCTCCAGCACAGTTTCCCAGACACTTTTCTCTTCCCCGTGTTTTCATGGTCTCCAGGTGGAATTGGAGTCTGCCTGTTCAGTGGCCTGGTCATCTCCTGGGAATCCCACTGAGAGCTGATTCCAACTCTCCTTTTCCAGGGACACTCCCTCTTCAGAGCTGATCAGAGCAGCAACCCTCTGCTTCTAATAGGCCTAACCTGATCACAATACCATGGTCAGACGGCAACCTAGGCCAGTGATGGCGAACCTTTTGAGCTCGGCGTGTCAGCATTTTGAAAAACCCTAACTTAACTCTGGTGCCGTGTCACATATAGGAATTTTTTGATATTTGCAACCACAGTAAAACAAAGACTTACATTTTTGATACTTATTTTATATATTTAAATGCCATTTAACAAAGAAAAATCAACCAAAAAAATGAGTTCGCGTGTCACCTCTGACACGCGTGTCATAGGTTTGCCATCACTGACCTAGGCAGTGGTTCTCAACCTTCTGGCCCTTTAAATACAGTTCTTCATGTTGTGACCTAACCATAAACTTATTTTCGTTGCTACTTCATAACTGTAATGTTGCTGCTGTTATGAATCATAATGTAAATATCTGATATGCAGGATGATCTTAGGCGACCCCTGTGAAAGGGTCGTTCGACCGCCAAAGGGGTCGCGACCCACAGGTTGAGAACCTCTGAGTCCTAGTGCCAAATCATCAGGGCCCAGGCGGGGAGGGAGCCCAGGAAGGCCGGTTCCTGTTTAGGGCCCACCATTAACTGGCCTTTGACAAAGGATTTCCTTCCACAACAACGAGGGGGCTGAGCAAGATCATTCAGATGCTCTCTACCTCTTGCCCCTGACCTTCAATTCTGTCTGTGGGGGATGAGGGAGAGAGAAACCCCGGCCACCTAAGGGCGCGGGCGTACCCAGATTTGGGAGTCAGAACCCATGTCCCTTCTGCACCTGCACCGGGTTCCTGGGCCGCACTGAGCCTCACAGTAGCGGACCTGGAGCGGACAGTCAGCGGGGAGTGGGCGGCCGCCGCCTGCCGCCTTTACCTCCGAAAGAGCTGCAAGTGAACCACAGATGGCGCCACCTTCTCCACCACCTCTGCGATGAAGTTGTAGTTGCTCCTGAGCCAGCCTGCGCTTCTGGTCCCTGTGAAGCAATGCTCCGTTACTGGGGGCGATGGGACCCTCGCCTGCTGATCCTCCAAGAGAGGTTCTCAACCTTCCTATTGCCGCGACCCTTTAATACAGTTCCTCATGTGGTGGTGACCTCCAACCATAAAATTGTTTTCGTTGCTACTTCATAACTGTAATGTTGCGACTGTTATGAATCATAATGTAAATATCTGATATGCAGGATGTATTTAGGCGACCCCTGTGAAAGGGTCGTTTGACCCCCCAAAAGGGTCGCGACCCACAGGTTGAGAACCGCTGCAAGGGGTCCGATCTCAAATCTCTCAGTCCCCCCACTCCCCTCTCTCCACTTTCCTCCCTCCCCTTCCTCTCTTCGGTCTCCCCCGTCCTGTATCCTGTGGTCCCACTCCCGTAAGGATGCGCCTTGAGGGAACTAGGCCCGTCACCCCGATTGGAGAAAAAAAAAAAATTAGAAGGGAAGAGGACATTTAACAGGTGTGGGGAGGAAACTGGGGGGAGGGGGGAACCACATGGGGACCCGCAAAGAGACACCCCAGGAGGGAAGAAAATCGGGAGCAAGAAGTGGAATCCCTACGGCCAATGGGGCAGGGCAGAGCCCGTGGAGAGCTGCGCGATTCAAAAACGCTCCTCCCGAAAGTTTCAAGAGGGCCCAGGGCCGGCACCCACCTCGATCCCTGCAGTCGCCCTTCTGCACCGGCAGCGCCGGGAGC